TTGCCCGCACATCGCAAATCTTGTACGTCAAAATAAAAACTTTTTTAAAAAGGACATTTTCAATTGGAAATCTATAATTTTTGGGAAATGGGAAAAAAAAAACGACGATACGTATTGACAATTAATAATGTAGTAATAAATTCAAACAGATTAGTAAAAAAACAAAATGTAATATCAATGTTATTATACATAAACAAAAATAAACAAATATGCAGTTTTTTTAAAACTCGATAAGTACATATTATGATAACAAAAATTAAAATAAACTATGATCTGCTCAGAGAAAATAATAGTTTTAGCTATTATTATTCAAACATCCACTTCGGAATCATCGTCCTGCCCTATCTCATCAGCATTATTGTCAACAGTTAGGGCAGGTTCTTTCATAACTTCATCATAAAAAGTAGTAACTTCATCCGTAAGACCCATGCCACGTAAGAGCTTTTTAACGTAACTTTTCTTGAGGTCACTAACATGATTCACTGTTAGAAGCTTCTGAGCTTCTGATATCCGATTAGCGTTTTTACACCTTTTTTGAAACTACTAACTTCTATTTCATAACCAGTATATGTAGTGCGGACTTTGCAAATAACTGTCCCTTTCATTTTCTGGTACGTTAAGACCCGAGCTACGCTTATTCTGAAAGGTAGCTTTTTCTTCACAATGCTCTGCGATACCGACTTATAATCAAACGTATTCCAGTCTTGTCCCCAAACATTGACCGTTCCATGGTTTTTCAAAGTCTTTGACGCGAAAAAAATTGACCAAGATAAAATACTGCTTAAATTCATGCAAGTTGATGTTCCTAAGCGAAAAACTACAGATGAAACAGTTATGAGTCAGATTGATAAGGGTAATTCTGAAGCGATAAAAACACACATAAGCAGCTACAAATGCAGAGAAAATCACTAGTCGCGTGAAAAATTCAGAAGAAACTAGTTACCTCCTGAGTTAAACATTCAGAAAATGTACAAAATAGTTTGTGATACAACAAACTTTATACGAATTATTCGAGCTTGATTCCGAGCCCTACAAAAAACGCTTAAAATGTGTAGAAAAATGTCTATTATTTCGAATCTGAAACTTCTAGCATGTTTTTCAATTAGTGCGATGGATT